GCTTAGGCAGAGCTGTAACTGTTATCTAAAGGATTAAAAACTACATCACAGATTATGTATGCCCATAAATGCACCATTCACAGAGGTGCCCAGTTTACTAATTATATAAAAATGAAATCCTTCAAATGTGTTTATGTAGTTGCCCTTTTTTGTTTAAGAGATTTCTTCTGTTATCTTCAACCATAAGAATGTCCTATTTTTCAGGATGTGTTGGGCATATTTTGAATTGAATTTATTACATTTAACAGCTCATATAAATACTTTGTACCTAAATGTGAAGGTTCTGCCTACATCCAATATACTTTTCATACAGTCACGACAAATGAACTGATAAATTCCACTATCAATAATGGGTCTGCCTGAGTTGTTTTTATACTGGTATCTTTGAATGGGCTGGAGATAGTTTAGCTTCTTTGCAGAAACAAGTGCATGTTGCCTCACTTTCATTCTTATTTTGGCTTATTTATGATTTTATTTCCTTTTGCATTATATTCTGGAATGTTTTTATTTTATCTAATGGGTACTGGCTATTCTTTAGTACTACTTTAACATTTAGTTCTTCCTTAAATCTGTGGTTACATGCATTAAGAATGAAGCAGAACATAGAGACTGCAGAAGGAGCATTTCTTGGTATTTTCTTATTGTTTATTTAATGATGTTAGCAGCACTTAGTATGGAAGTATTGAATGATAGGATCATTAGCGAAAAATGAATTGTAATGCATGTAGCTGGAAGCAGTCATGGCCTTATTTGAGGTCCTATCCTGGCATGTACTTGCAGGAACTGAGAAAACGTCACTCAGGATGACTTGTCTCTGAACCAAGATTTGAACCCCAAATCAGGAGCAAGCAGGAGTGCTACCTACTCAACTGCAACGTTCGATTACTCTTTGACTGTGATGTTGCATTCAACAAGATCCTGCCTGAAGCTACAGCTTAAGCTGTCATGGGCGACACTGTGGGTCAGCTCCATACTGGCAAACATAATCACAGATTTTCATGCCTAAAGAGTCCTTGGAAGGATGGGTTCTGTCACTACTGCCGTGGAGCTTTACTGTGGCTGAACTTGGCTACTATGTGGTAGGATATGTAAATTACATTGCTATCCTAATAAGTGGGAAAATTCCTAGCATTCTTGGGGTTATGCCATGCGAAATTAATAAACCATGGTTTAGGGCAACATTTTTATGGACACTTCCAAATCTAACAGAATGTTGCAGATTTGATAGGTCTCCTTAGGAACTGACATATATGAGATTTTTTTACCTTCCTGTGTACATTAACTGCACAGGCACAACACTTTGAAAGTTTAAGCTTTCTTTAATTATTCCTTGTTCTGAGTCAAGCTTTTAAGTGGGGCTTTCATTTGGTATGCTATGCCCAATATTTTAGGGCACACTAATAAAATTCTGACTGTGACTTCTGACCTCGGTTTATGACAAAACATAGAGCCACATTTATCCTATTTCTTACATGACACTTAGTGATCATTTCAGTACATCTTGGAAAAGTATGGGGCATGAAAATGATGATAAAATATTATTTTTTGCCTGTTACTGGTCTGATCAGGCATGACAAGTCATGCTGTGACCTGCACTCACATTCTGCACAACATCATTACTCAAGCCAGCCTTTCAGTTCATACATGAAGCCAATAGCGTTAAGCTGTATCACCTTGAGTGGAGAACTATGTAGTGATTTGAATGAGTACTAATTCATTTTTATTCTTGCCAAATTTAAAATGGGTGTAAATGGTAGAAGTGAAAAGAACTTAAACACTGTTGTAATCCATTGAAATGTCATTAGCAGTGCAGGTTACAAGAAAATCCTTAGATGTGTTGGTCAGGATGATAAAAAAGGTTCCTAGTATTCACAAAGGAAAAAAAATCTGTGATAAATGTATGGAAACTATTGAAAAATTTCCCCAGAGTTCTGGACATGAAGCAATTTGTCTCTTCAAGTTCAGAATATGACAAAACGAAAGAAAGATCTGTACAGTTTTCCAAATGAGCAAACCCAAGTTGTCTCCTTGTTAAATAAGACTCTGAAGTCATTAGAAGAGAGACCACCAATTTCCATTAAAAAGTTGACAAGTGACGTACGAGGGTAAGTCAATAAATAAGTTACAAATGGATACAGAACTTAAACAAATAAGAGTACTGATTTCAAAAATGCTTTTATTTCTCATCATAATCTCCCTGTACATTGAGGCACTTGTCACATCGTTTCACAAGCCCCTGAAAACCAGCAGCATAGAATTCTTTGGGCTGCTGTCAGAACCAGGCAGCGACTTCAATTTCTACAGGAAGTCGCTCGGAGCAAGACTCATCACCTGTGACAATTCAGGCTAGCATATCTTGTCCTTCATAGCGGTAGAGATTGAGATGCTGTAACGCCAGACCCATTCTTTGCATTTTGTGTTGTGGGATCAGCATGCGCGGCACCCATCGTGCACAGACTTTGTGAAAACCTAACCTGTCATGCGACTTCCATTTGTTCGGCCCTCTTAAACATCATCTTTTGGCTGAACATTTTACAGACGATGAAGCTGCAGAAATGGAAGTCACGACCTGGTTCTGACAGCAGCCCAAAGAATTTTATGCTGCTGGTTTTCAGGGGCTTGTGAAATGATGGAACAAGTGCCTCAATGTACAAGGAGATTATGTTGTGAAATAAAAGCATTTTTCAAATCAGACTCTTTATTTGTTTAAGTTCTACATCCATTTGTAACTCACTTATTGACTTACCTACAAATTTAAAGGAAAAATTAAAGAAAACTACAGGAGACACTGGAAGAACAATATTCAATTTAAGAGACTCCTGTGAGAGTGACATTTCTGGTGAAAGTCAAAGGACAACAAAGTTGAAGAAAGAATTTCACATAAAGTTTCTGGGAGGAAGGGGGAGTCATAAGATTAAGATTTTGACAGTTCTTCCAAAGAGATGGTCAATTAGAAAAATTCAACAAGAATTCAAAGCTAAAGTAAAAAAAGCAGTGGCTGACAAAGAAATTTTGTCAAACCCAACTACAAAATTAGACAAAGTGCTGCCTCTTGCAACAGGAGAAATGGTGAAGCAATTTCATGTATCTCATTAAATCAGCAGGTTTGTGTCTGGGACAAAAGATGGTGTCTATCAATTAAAGAAAAGGTTCATCTCCAGAGAAAACTGATATTTTGTAATCTAAAAGATGTTTACTCAACTTTTATGAAACAGACTCATGAGACACATCAAAGGGTTCTGGCAGTGGCATATAACACTCAGAATTACTGAGTTTTTGAACTTTGGGTAACTTAGACTGAGACTGTTTGCAATCCCTGATGAAACTGGCAGAATGGAAATGAGTTCCTGGATGTGGGGTAGCGGGCAATAAACTGCTTTGCTTCTGGCAAAACAGAGGACTGAAACTCTGTTCATCAGACTGGAGCCTACTGGTGGCATATGCGATGGAGCAATTTATTCAAGGTATAGGGATGCTGAAGGAATGTGTGATGGGACCACACAACAAATTACTGGGTTCAAGAGCAGTCAGATACCCATCCCCCTTCTATACTGTTTTATTTTCTCTCCCCCACTGAAATAACTCTGAAAAAGACAACTTTAACCTACTGGACTCTCCAACAATCTGTATGGGGCTTGCTGCAAGTTCAACCGTATGACCCAGAGTAAATTTTAACAGGCACTTTCCAGTGAAAGGTTGTCAAACAGTTTAGAAGATATAATATTTACTTCATATACAGAGAATTACATTAATATACAGCAAAACAGAGCTCCAAAATCTTGTAACATCAGATTGGCTTGAGAGAATTTTTAACCTAACTTTAACAGTTATACATAGAAAGAGAGACGTGCAGTATGAAGGATGACGCATAACCCTATTACCTTAATACATTGGGAAGGGTCAGGAAATGGAGTACTGAGGGTTCTGATGGTGCTGTATTAATATAAGAATTTATGGCATAATTAAACTGTATGCGAAATGTTTTCTTCTGTACAATCGTCCACACATCTGAAATTCCTGTTGGCATTTGAGGTTTTATAACACAAAGAGAACAGTGTATATTTTAATTATTTTACAATATTCTTCATAAGAATGTGTCATAAAACGATATTTCATACGTGCCTGGCCTTGAATAACGTGATGTTAAAAAGGGTGACATTTCCTCCTTTATCACACTCTCTCTCTCCATATATATATGTGACGAAGGGTATATTTATTTATTTTTGGATTTATCATACGGTTGGCTTTCCATAGCATATAAGAATCAGTTCGTGATGTAAGTTCTAATACGTAAGTTTGCCAGAAAACTCCGATTAATTTTACCAACTACAAATACTACTTGTTCCATATTAATATATCTGTGTAACTTAATGTCATACAATTGTTATTAATAAGACTTCATAACACTAATTTTAACGAAGTTTCCTTATACCCCTCCTCCCACCAAAGGAAAATATTCGGATTCATCACATTAACAACTACATTCACACCACCATACTTCTCAATACACCAATAATTATCGTAGACATCACGTACTCCATTCCACCTAATATTTTACACCTTCTACAGTTCTCACAACACTGCTCCCATAATATGTGGTTCACCTTATATTATAACCAAACTGAGTATTTTAATATCATTCTTTTAAATTAAAAAGTTTCGCACTTTGTCATATACAAACCATCTACTACTCCGCTACAATATCTACGGTGCTATGAGTGTGTCTACATTGACAATTTTCCACAATGGTGCCATCAATACAATCCCTTCTTTACGAAAACAAACGTTTAACTTATGTCCTTCCCATTTAAAACACGTAAACTCAAATACTGCTCTTTGATTACAATCCCGCTCATTTTTATTCTAATATTATCTTTAACATAAGTAAATACGAATGTTTGCAACTTAAGCCTATGAAGATCCAAGCGAATGGTAGGATATCACATTTTGCACAAGTATTCAGTAAAAGAATATTAAAAATATCGTAAAATAATACTTACTGTCGTAATAATAACACACGCGCTTTTTACTGTGGGGTAGTGCTGACATTATTATAATATTTAATAGTTAAAAGTCCCTCGCTTTAAAATCCCCCGACTTACAAGACTCACAGCCTTCTAAAGCGATTTCACACTCTTGCATATTTCACGGAACAGAAATTGTTAAGCAGACGCTATCAAGTGAGGCAACTTTGCTGAAAATTCCCTATGCGCATTTTGAGGCAAACAGGCTCTCTTGCATAAGTTTGTGGCTGATGAACAAAGTCATATATAATGTATATCCCACAGCTACACATAAAATGTACAGGTTCGAAAGGTTTGTGCTCATGGGTACATTGTCTAGAAGCAAGGATATTACATTATAACTCCCCGTCCCCAATTTCTTTGTGCTTAATAATTTAAGCACCACGCCATGAAGACGTGGAGAAGTGAAGGTATACCTCAACCGAGCTTAACCGTTGCTAACCTCGTCATTAGAAGTAGGTGAGCGATCAATTTCACGCCTTTACCCCTTTAGCTCCGAGAATTAAGCCCCCCGGTACAAACCGGTAGGAGGCTGGGTGAACCTCAAAGTCGATTTGGACTCTGCGGAGAAGAGAAAAATTTTCCCCTTGCTGGGAATCGAACCTCAACTACTCGGTCGTAGCACTGAGCTATCGAGGTACTAGCAAAACGCACAAAAACGTGCTGTGAACTGGACAGAAAGAAAACGGGCGTCAATTCCTGACAGGAGCAGAGAAACTGGTCTTTTTTCCATGGTGTCCAGATAGGCTCTGGGGCCGAGCCAGCCTTCTGTCCAGTGTCACGGATTCTTTTTCCTAGGATTAAAGCGTCCGGAGCGTGAAGCTGACCACTCATCTCCATCTAGTGCCGACGTCAAGAATGGTGGAGCTATACCTGTACTCTCCCACATGTCTTAATGGCTTGCTGTGGACAGAGATACATTCACCTTTACAGTTTCGCTAGTTCCTTGAAACCGTGTGACTGACTCCTGACTATTGCAACAGAATGTAGCCATTATCACGGTAATTACGTAGATTTTGAAAGTGTAAGAGGTGGGGGGGGGAAATATAAATGCTATGGCACTTTGTTTTATAAAGGAAATGTGTTTGCCCTATCTAAGAATTCATTCATTTATTCATTCATGAAATGGCTCTAGAGCCCTTTGTTTGGTCCTGGTCTCCACTTCAGTTCGTAATGATTTTTGCACAGACGGTAGGCCTCCCTGTACGATTGATCAGCCCGTTGCAAGGCCGCTACCTACTAACAGAGCAACACAAACATAGAATATACGCATACTTCCATGCCTTGAGTGGGATGGGAACGATTGGAACCCATGATCCTAGTGTTCGAGCGAGCGAAGACAGTTCATGCCTTAGACCGCGCGGCCACTGTGATCGGCCTCTCTAAGAATGAAGTTTTTTATCAAAGGCGAACCCCTATTTACGAACATATTATGTTCTATGAAATGTTTTCTTTAGATGTATGTTCCTATGTTGAATTTTTTTTTTCCTTCATAAGATACATAGTTAAATTTGTTAGTGTTAATTTGTTGAAATGTTCGTAGGCGCGGGGTTCTGTGTTCATGAAATAAATTGGGATTCGCAATTTATTATTCCGTGTGATGTTCGTAAAGACGAATTGTTCGCTTCTCGAAAGTTCGTAAGTAGAAGTTCGCCTATGCATAATACACAACCATCTTTAATCCTTCATCACGAGTAAACACTATTTACCACTCATTATAAAATGAAAACTAAACGTGCACAACTTATTTATTCCATTTGCATTCAGCGTGTAATTATTATGTACCTGGCCGATACGTTTAAAAGCAAACCTACCAACGTCATACCAAATAAGGGTCTTTCTTCCTTCATCTATAATTTTTTACAACGTTCCTACAGATGTAAATAGAGAATGATGTAAAATTAAGTTATATTAATTTTTAAGCTAAAATTGCCTCTACTTATGTATGTAACCTTTTGACTTGTTCTGTATCCAAAGGTACTAACCTGCTTAGGATTTATAGATTGTAAATAAATTCAGTTCAATTCAATACAGTGGCTATGTCAATAATATGTCAATATGTTGCTTATGCGTGAAAAAAAATATCTATCTCATTCTCAGCTTCGAAGAATGGTAGCAGTGTCATTTTACATTGCAATCTGAACTATGCTGAATATAGTGGTATATGAAAAAAGGAATAGTTCCTTTCCAAAGAGTTACGGGTCGGCTAGTGCAGTGAAGCCGTGCGAATACCGCAGCTGCAGACCCTGACGAAGTCACTATTACTATTACTACTATTACGAAATTTGCCTGAATCTGTTACTGCAGTTCCTACACAATGTCGCATTCGACTGTTAACAGCGACTGCTCTTGCGACCAGTCCGCGTCTGTTGAAGAAGTTCACATATGTTTTCAGTCGGCATAGCGACGGGTCACAGGCCGTGCAGCTGGGATTGAATTCCCAGCAGGGGCAGGAGATTATTCTCTTCTTCATCGCTTCAAGGTCGGATCTGGAGCCCACCCGTATTCCTATCCAAAGGATACGGGGGCCCCGGGTGATTATGATGATGGGGAATTTCGTGGAATGAAGATTGGCAGGGGAAACAGAAGTACTCGGAGAAAACCTGTTCCAGCGCCACTTTGTCCGCCACAAATCCCACTTGACCCGACTCGGGATCGAACCCGGGCCGCCGCGGTGGGAAGCCATTGACTAACCGCTTGAGCTAGGGCGCGGCCTCTTTATTTGAATGTTAACTTTGTAACTTTTCATATCTACCCGCTGGAAATCCTGTTTAATTTGGGATTCCTTGTGTTGGAAGTTTCTGTCGATCGGGTTGGTATTGCTATGTGATGTGTGGTAGGTTGAAATAATCCGAGGATCCGAGGGATCCGAGGGCTTTAGTCGCTGATCCGTGGTTGGATGTGGAAGTTGTACCTGTCGGTCTGAAGAGGGAAATGGTAGTTTGTTTGGTAAATGTGGATTGGACGTATTTTTCAGTTTCGATGGCCGTATCGAAGGAAGCGGAATTGATAAATTAACGTCGTTTATCAGATAAGGTATTCACTTTAAGTTATCCTTGTTGTTCATTTTAAGTGGATAGTGTACGAGTAGAATTTACGGAATGTCAGTGATAGCAAGTTGCGGTCTTAAAAGTGTCGTTGACACTGATTGTATTGGGGTTGGAATGATAATGTTTTGTATGTTAAAAGCAGCTTCAGCCATGCTAATTGTTAGTGTACTTTGTCCGTATTGAAGCCCTTTTTAATGTCAGGCGTTTATAAAACTAAATAGGACCCAGTTCTGAATGAGACTAGTCAAACCGAAGGTGGTTTGCTTTGCGTCGAGCATGCCTTTTAGGTATGTAGAAGTTCAACAAGAGTTCAGGGGGCACGCGGTAGCGTAGTTAGTTGAGGCACTATGCTACAAGTCGGAAGGTCGCGGGATAGAATCCCGATGATTTTTTTTTCAGTTTACCTAATCATTCCAGCCGCACTATGGCCCTGGGGTCGACTCAGCCTCTAACAGAAATGAGTATCAGGAATATTCTTGGTGTGAAAGGGCGGCCTGCGCGTAAGGCTGATAACCTTACCGCCATCTATGAGCCAATTTTCTAGAAAATGTGGGAACCTCAACATCTCACAACCCTATGGGCCTTCATGGCCTGTTACAGGGATAGCTTTACTTTTACTTTACCTTTTACTTAGAAGTTCAGAGTTCAGTCCCGTTCAAGATGGAATTGCTGGTACAGTTTGTGTGTTTACATCAGTTATTGTAATGGGCCACAAGGTTTAGTTATAATCCCATCAGTGTATTTTTTTTTGTTGCTATTGGGGTGGGACTAAGTCCCTTGCACTGTGGCCACTTCTGGCCTATTGTACCTGCCCCAGATGATAGGTGAGGGTGATTGTGGAACAGTTGGTGGAATGAAGATTGGCAGGGGAAACTGAAGTACTCGGAGAAAACCTGCCCCAGTGCCATTTTGTCCATCACAAATCCCACTTGACCAGACCCGGGATCAAACCTGGGCTGCCGTGGTGGGAAGCCAGCGACTAACCGCTTGAACTATGGTGCAGCCTCCCATCAGTGTAAGTCTAGCAACTCATTTGGTAGTTTTCTTGTGAAGTACAACAAACAGGAAGGCATCCCCTACCAAACTGACAGGCAAGAGCCAAACGTACTCAGATTTCAGTGAAAGTTAGTGAGCTGTAGACTTTGTAGAAAATAGTATTCTTGCATAATTTCAGCACCATGTGTGTAGCGGTTTTGTGGAGCAGGGGCACAAAACTTGTAAAATTTTTTGTATGCATGTTGTTGGCACCAAAAATTATTATAACTGTTGTATGCAAGGTGCATGGCTCATATGGGGCTTGTTTAAAATACGATGAAATGTTTGTTTTTCAGATGTGCATGTAACTTACATCCATATAAAGTAGTTTTGGTTTCAGTGTCACTTGACCATAAGTTTTTCCACAATTTTTTTTTTGGAAAAATATATGTTTATAACAGATTCATAATGTTATATTTTAACGTAGAGAAAATTTCATCATGGGACAGTCATGGGGTTTCTTGTAATAAATTTATGAACATAAGCAAGCTACAAAATAGAATTTTCTGGGACAATATTTGGCAGGTCTTCAACACATCACGTTCTACAATATGAAAGTTCCTGACCTCAACAGATATGGTGGTCGCACTGATATATTGGGTTTTCGGATATGGTGGTATTATTGTCAGTTGTTCCTTCTTGTGAAAGTGATAATTGGTACTTTTTCAAGTTCTGTGAGATCAGCTTGAAAAAAGATTTCCAATTATGTTGCTATTTCTCAGACATCAGCTGTGTTTACTACTAATTTCATCATTGATTCAGTTGAACTAAACTCCTGAAAGTGCCTTTGGAATTCTGGTTTTCAGTATCATCCAGAAATGGCAATGATTCAAAATTTTCTTCAACACCAGCTTCAGACATGAATTTTTTAGATGTGGAAAATGAAGTAGAGTCTTTCTTTTTATATCAGATAATCATAACATCAGTTTATCTCTGGTTGTTATCACTGAACTAATCATTTCATGATTATGTTTATCATTCCCCTGGAACTTGAGATTTAACACATTAACACTTAGATGTATGAGGAATTCTAAATCAAGCAACCAACATGAGTCAGTCAGTTGCTCATATTACTCATTTTTGGATTCCAAGAACTCTCGAATCTTGAAACAACTTTGCCTCTGCTCAGCCAGTAGACTTCAGTGTGTATTGTCAAATCAGAATACTCTGACTGTGGGTTTCGGGAAAACTTCTAAAAGCCTATGTTTCAAGCTTGTGAAACAAATGGAGTTATTATTTTAGTTACCACATTTGTCACATGTTTAAAATTGACGACTTTCATACACGAGCTCCTTGGTGAATAATATAGTGGTATGCATGGACACTAGGATTGATCTGTCTTTCCTACACAAACTTAAAAATCCATTTTTGCTACCTACTGTTGCAGGTGCTCTATCACTTGTTATGGACATGAGTTTTTGGAGCTGTAGATTGATATCAGAAGCATATGCTTTGAAGGCGGGGTAAAAAGATTCATCTTTCATTTTGCCTGTCAAGGGAAGAGTTGTAAGAATATCTTTCTTCATCAAGTTATCACTGAAGACCATTGTAACCATTGTTGCTAACTGGCTCATATCAAGGACATTTGTGTACCCATCAAACTGTGGTGAATAGAAGTTGCATGTTTTTAGGTCATTTATAAATTGATCTTTAAGGTTATGTGAAATTGATTCTGTTTTTCTTATTATTTTGTTAGTTTACAGCTGGACGTTTTTAATTGGAGGTATGATTTTCTTCCTTGTTTCTAAAATCTTCAAACAGAGATTCTACTATAGACAGCATCATCTCTTTGACTAGTTCTTTGTGCTTAGAAGGTTTCTTTCATTTTAAAAAGACAGGAGAGACTTTGCAAGATGCTAAAGTGCATTTTTTGCTATTGTTGAACAGGCCTGGCAAAGACAGTCTCTTGTTGAAAGAGAGTTCACTTTTTAGGTCATGCTATTTTTCTTTACATCAGAATTGAGAGGGAAAGACCCAACATAAAAATCCAGCTGATGCTGGGAGGAGAGAAGACAGTGAACGATGCTCTCAGGCAGGCCTTCAAGATGCAGGCCATGTTCCTAGCAGCCAGGCCCCCAAAAACGAGCACCAGGGTGCTCTGGGGGGAACCGCCCCCTCAAACCGGGCGAAGAGACTACTGACGCCTGGTGTGCTGGAGCTGTGGGAAGCTGCCCTTATGAAGAGGAGGGAGAAGACAAGGGCAGATGCCGGAGACGAGAGGACTGAAATATCGTCTTGGGCCCCAGATGGGTGCTTGACACGAAGACAGATTGGCTGAATAACTTTTGAGTTTGTGAGTTAGTTCAGGGAGGATGTTGCATGAGGACTATGCCTTCAAGTAGTTTGGGATCTTCAGAGGAACGGTGCCAACCAGTGAGCGCAGGAGCCATTGGACACAGAAGTCGAGGACACTATGTCGTTGGACGCCATTAGCAAGCAGCATGACACTGGTCTGTGTGAAACAGTGATCTGTGAAGTGTAGCCAGGAGCTGTATGAGCCTTCAATAATTTGAGAACCTATCAATACTTACTCTTCATCATGTGTACTGCAAAAATGACACGTGAGAAATTTGTCAGAGGTTGCATCCAGTGACAGCGAAACCAAAATTACTCTGCCTGAATATGAGTTGTAAATCTGTGAAAATAACATTTCTGTTAGCTTCAGGAAAAGCCCCATGTGAGCCTTGTAGTTTGAAGAGAACAGAAGTTGTGATGATGTTTAGTGGAGACAGCCTATCAAAAAATACATTTTTAGCATATTTTCCTTATTTTGAAAAAAATAAAAGAAGGCTTATGAGATAACCTAGGTGTCTGTGTGTCTGTCGCCCCCCTTCCTAATGTTGCTAGACAATGGCTTGGTAAACATGTTTCCAAGATAACATATAACACAACGATGGAAGAACTGCTAGAAGCGGTGTTTTCTATGTGATCCATGTTGTGTCAAATACCGAATAAATAGTGAAAGGAAAACAGGCGACTAGTTCTTTCAGAACTTATTTTTTTATGATTTTTTTCATCCCAACTCCACAAGAACTGCAAGACAAGGTGGTGAAATTGTACAAGAATATTATTTTATATGGAGTTTACAAGTTCACCAACTTTTATTGAAATCAGAGAAGGTTGCATTTTTCTGTAGTGATTTAGCATGGAAATTTATATTAATGTCAGTACTGTATATTTTCCGCGTGCCTTGTTTCGTAAAGGAGGAAGGATGTGTGTTTCTTGGTCTCATCTGCTTTGAGATTGTTCTTATCATTTGTGATTTTATGCTCACTTCCTGTGCACACATACAACCAGGAACTTGATTGCAGGATTAGTATTTCCTTTGTGCTTGGAAGACCAGATTCTGTGCCATGTTTTCAGCAGAGTCATGTGCCAAATGAAATATCTTATGAAGTAAGTTTTAGTTCGCTGAGTTGGAAGTTTACTTGAAAGTAAGTTTAGTACTTGACACATTTGTATGATTGACTTGCTATGAAATTAAACGTTTGCATTACTGAATTAACTAATAGACATAGGATATTATACTGTCTTCTTTATCCATATAAAATTAATTCAGAAACTTCAAAACTTCTGTTAAGATATACCGTATTTATGCATGTATAGGCCGCACATTTTTTGCCAAAAATTCAAGAGGAAAACTGGGGTGCGGCTTATATTCGAAATATTCGAAATCACACTTCAATTAAAAAAAAATTATATTCATAATTAGTAATACAGGGTGTTCTACTCCTGAAATAATATTCCAAGAAAATTATTTTTTCTATAATTTCTGTCTGAAAATTGTGCTGCGGACTATACACGCACGCGGCCTATACATGCGTAAATACGGTACTCAAATGAAGTATTTTGACTTTCACAGTCGCAGCTAAAATTACTTGACTCGTCATTTATACAAATATGTAACAGGCTATTAAAAATTAATTGTTATAGTTAAGCTCTGGGTAATTC